CCCCCCCCGGCCGCCCCCCGCCAATGGCTCCCCTCCTCCCTCGAACCCGCCGGTTTCCCCCTCATCCTCATCCCTCTCTCCCTCTCCTATCTCCGCCGCCGCCATTACAACCCCTCCACCCCTGTCTTCCACCTCACTCCCCCCCTCCTCCTCGCCTCCTCCGTTATCGGAATCATCTCCGGTTTCGACAACTTCCTCTACTCATACGGCCTCAACTTTATCCCTGTCTCCACCTCCTCCGTTCTCATCGCCGCCCAGCTCGCTTTCACGGCGATCTTCGCTTTCTTCATCGTGAAGCAGAAATTTACCCCCTTTTCGGTCAACGCGGTGGCGTTGCTGACCGTTGGAGCCGCCATGTTGGCTCTGCATGCTAGCGGCGATAGGCCTGCGGGGGTGAGCGCCGCCGGGTATTGGAAGGGGTTTGTTTTAACGGTTGGGGCGGCGGTACTGTACGGATTAATGTTGCCGTTGGTGGAGTTGGCTTTTGATATGGCTGTGAGGGAGACGGTGACTTTTACCGTGCTCATGGAAGTGCAGTTTGTTATGGGCTTTTTTGCTACTGGATTCTGCGCCATCGGGATGGTTTTCAACAAGGATTTTCAGGTAGGGGTTGTCGGTTTCAATTATCTTCCTTAATAATAATTAAACGCCCAAGTTTAGGCACAGTTCATGTTTAACAATTCTTTAAAAAATATTGTTAATATATTCTTGTTCGACTCATTTGCTTAACAAATTAAAGATGGGTTGTTCACGAAATTAAAGATATATATATAATTATTTCGAGCCTTATTTATATATCAAGCACAAAAATTTTATTCGTGTTCGGCTCATTTGTTTAACAAATAAATCGAACATGAGTTGTTCACGAACAATGAACTTTTTTGTTAGCTTTAAACAAACAAATATTGAGCACAGTGTGTGTATGTGAGGACCGTGCTATTCGAGAAATTATTACATACGAAGCACGTATGCAGCACCACGTGCCAACTTCAGTAATATATCGTCATGTGTCATATATCGGGCCCACCTCCCATGGAGATTATTGAAGTGTAACAGTCGAGATTATTGGGAGGGTAACTGGAAGATAACTAAAAGCTCTTTCATCTTCTACAGGCAATCCCAAGAGAAGCAGCAGAGTATGGACTGGGGGAGACGAAGTACTATCTCGTGTTAATGGCGGCCGTGATATTTTTTCAATGCTTCTTCGTAGGCGCACTGGGAGTGATCTCCTGCGCCAACACTCTGCTCGCCGGCATCATCATAGCCGCATTGATCCCTGTGATTGAAGTTCTTGCGTTCATCTTCTTGCACGAGAAGTTCAGCAGCGAGAAAGGGGTTGCCCTAGTTCTCTCTCTATGGGGCCTCGCTTCCTATTCTTATGGCGAGTATACACAGCTGAAGCAGAAGAAGAAGGAACAACAAACTACTCCAGCTCTGACTGTAATTTAAGAAAAAATATTATCTCAGGAGTACTGATGCATCAGCATTCTAATGGAGAGGTGTCTCTTGAGATAATATTTTTTCGCAATTTAAGTCTATCTTTACTCAATTTCTATGTATCTAACATGTGAAATTTGATATTTGCATTTATATAACTTCGGTGTCATAATTCTAAACATAACTCAAGGCTTCTAAAGATTGATATTTTGAATGTTATTTAGGGTCTTTTTGAGGTGGTTGTGCGGTGGCGGCTGTGTTATGCTGCATCTCAGTTTTTCTGTTTGACAAAACAAGATTTTGTCTGCATTCTAAAAAAACTACGTTTTCTCACTGTATCTGATTATCTCCGATGACTGCTAGAAAATTACAATCTCATTTTTTAAACAACAGTTTTTTCTTCAACAGCTTCACCGTTCGTTCTTAAATTGATATAGCTGACCCCAAAGAGTCGCTTAGTATTATAAATTATGAAAGTTTTGTACTTGATTTATAAATAGGCTTAAGACAATCAACGTTTTGGGTTATTTTTAGCTTCAAAGAATTGTGTAATTGAATAACTATAATTTATTATAAATTAATATTTACTAGTAATATTAATCAGTTTAGATAAATACATAAAACTAGGAAGATTTACATACATCACTGATCAATTCTATGTGTTTACATATCGCCAACTCCTAAACTTATATTTTTACATACATACCACCTTGCCTGTGCAAAGTTGGGGTGTTAGATATGTAAATATATAAGACTTGCGTGGCATATATGTAAATGCCCCATAAAATTAAATACAAATATTAATAATATAATTAATATTTATTATAAATTTTATATTTTTTAAAAATGGAAGTATTTCTCCGTACAGTTTGAAATGATTGAATGGCTTTATTCCACAGCTTCTATCTGATCATCAATTATTATTATTATTATTATTTTTAAATGCAACAATAAATTATATGTCCTTCCGACAAATAAAATTTAAATTTGCTTACTTCATCTCAATTTATATTTTATTAAAATACTCCTTTTTTTTTTCTTTTTATATACGTTCTAAAATAATATTTACTTAATTTTAAGCCCTCAGGCCAACAAAATTGCTCGCTTCAAGTCCATTTAATTATTTGGAGAGTAATATAATGCACCAATCAATCAATATTTATATTAAATTTTATTGCGTGTTAGAGAATTCGCGGCGGCATTAAATCTAATAAACACATATGAAAAAGAAATGGTACGAGGACGAGCAAATACTCTAGAAAGAGAAAAACAAATATATCAAAGCCTAGGAGACTAATTTGACCGTGTTTGGTGCACCCTTCTCTCATAATATAGAGAATGGAATTACAATTTTACACCAAAAATTACACTTATCGTACATAACATATAGAAAAATATAAGTGTTAGACACAATGACCGTATTTAAATTACAACAATTGCAAGCAGTGGTTGACAACAACGGTAGGTGATGACGATTGACGATGGTTGACGGTGGGCGGCGGGACGTAGCTGACGGTTTTCAACAGCTATAGGGGTCGGTGATTACTATCTTGACTTCTTTTCATAATAGACTTTGGAACTCTCACATCCTCCTCTCCTTACCCCTTCAAGTAAGGAGAGATGGTCTATTTATAAGATTTTGAGGAGGAGCATTTTAGCCTTTTAACATGTAACTTTTTTAATCATCTGATTGGATGATTTATGTTTTTCTCCCTTGATCATAAATGCCTACTTAATGATTTAGGTATCTTAATGACCTCAAAACTGATCAATCTTATGCTAGTTGAATTTCTTTTTTCGAGAAGGTCGATTAAACTATAAATATGTCAAATTTAGAGTTCATTTGACCATTCAATAGACGATCCAAAGCGTTTAAATGTGCGTCAATAACTTTATCCAGATTTGATTGAACCCGAATTGAGCCAATTTTGATATTATTATGTTTGTCTTGCCGAGATTATTAGTTTGACCCTAAACTTTTTAAAAATGGGGACCAGATAATTTTTAATTTGAATTTAGAAATGTATTTATAAAAAATGCAACGTGATTCGTGCAAGATAAAAATTTGTTGATGATGCATTAAACCTCCTTCAAAGTACATGTGATAAATTATATTTATCATGATAAAAATTTTATCAGGATAACTCTACTTTTTCTCTGTATACATACATTATATTATATAAATGCAAAATTGAATTTTTTTTAATAAATATGGTTTAAAATTTTCCCCAATATTTTATGTAATTAAATTTATTAAAACTGAGCTTAAAATTGAATTCCCTTAATGCTGTTGATTTTAATTAATAGTATTTAATATTTTTAATATTTATTTGTAATTATTAAATTGCAACAATATATAATAAATTTTTATCATACATATGAAGAACATCCAATATTTATAAAAAAAATATTATAAAGTACATTGAAATCACAAATACGTGAGAGAAAATATTATATAATGATTAGGTGTTTGAAGTGTTCATGTGATATGGGCCGGTTGGCCCGTATGATGGTCCTTGTCGTGACCAATATTGATGGTTAGGAGACATCCAACAGTGACCTACCTAAACACTAGAGATAATGGGCCAAAGTAACAGCAAGGTGATGAAGGTGAAGTCCAAAGGAAGTGTCAACATCACTACATAGCTCTCCAATCATATTAATTGCACATTGCCTCCAAACTTCAACAAATAATTGCACTTTGGCTTAGCATCGAAAATATGCCAGCAAGAATCGTGAGGAAATCTAAAGGATAGGAGAAAGACATGGTCAAAAAGGTATCGTCAATGATCAGAGCAAACAACCATAAACTGGAAAGTCATGATGCCTCAGTTCTTTCCAAAGTCGAGTAACAGGCCAAAGAACTCATCGACCAACGAGACCGACATCCGAATATTTAGTCTATCGACGGATAACTCCAGTCGGTCGGTTACCCAAACTAAAGACTACATGTTGCAAGCGGCCGATTGGTGGGAAGAGCTAAGCTCAAAACTTATTTATTTATTTATTTGTTGAGGACAAAAGTATTATAAAGCACCCCTACAAATATAGGAAGTAATCGGTGGTGGTAAAAACTCTATAAGCTGTATTCTATTGAGCACCCTCTCTCTCTCTCTCTCTCTCACACACACACACACACACAAACACACACACACACACGCACCACACACACACACACACGCACACATTTCTCTCATGTGCTATGCTCTATTATTGGGTGTTATTAGACAATCTTGGATTCATCAGTGACAAAGAGAAGTAATGCATGAAATGCAAATGTATGAATATATGAATTTTAAATATAAAATATAAAGAACAAGTCCGTATACCAGCACCATCTCTCTGATTGTTTTGTGTTAACAAAGTCATGGGGTATTACATTAGCGCCTTTGACAGATCGAATGTAGCCCAAGTCCTATACCAACACATATATCTTATGAGCCATCTCTCATCATCATGAAAGTTTTCATCTACCTGAATGATCATCCAATGTTTGTTCTCCCACTATTGAATACGACCAGTATGATAGTCAACCCAATCAATATTGGTTCTATGCTTTTCTTATACTCTTATAATACTACGCCCCATTGCGTGCATATCAGATAAATACAACCTCTAATGGCAAGGTTGGAATAGGTGGTCGTGTTGTGCACAAAGAACTATATAATAACTCTTGAGTAGAATATGTTATACTAGATGTTACTTCTAATGGACCAATTGCAGATATAAATTGGAACCAATTGCAGATATAAATTGGATTCCTGTGTGTGTGCGCGCGCGCGCGCTACAGTAAGTATTCCTCATGTGATGCTACATTATCTATGGTCCATTAAATTCGGCAAGCTCCTCTCCCTTCTGTGTCATGCATTAATACGATACATATCATTTATGAACATCACTTATTGAGTTTATTTAGACTAACAAATGCATGGAGTAGCCTCAAGTCATGACCTACAAGTAAGATAATTGAAGATATACTTTTGTCGGACTCTTTAACTTTTATGAAAATTTCACTATTGCTAAAATCACATGGTGGGATCCCCCCATATCAATGTGTAACAAGTCATGTGGGGATAAGAACCACCCAAATCAACGTGTAACATGAGGGGTTATTGTGGCTCCTTTATAACGAACCCCAAGTCTTACAGCAACACATTATTTGAGCCATCTCATCATCATAAAGAATTTTCTACATGAATGGTCAACACGTTTCACTTTATTACTCTTAAATTGTTATTGTCACTTATTATGCTTTATTATATTTAACTTTTTTATATTAAAAGAGGAAGAATGATTATAATTCAAGCAAATATTATTATTCAAATAACCCTTATTAACAAACAAATCAAACCAAGCCTTTAATAAACCAAACAAAAGTAACCAAATAGGTTTGACTCAGTTTAATATTTCAATTTTAATGAACTAATGCACACCCTTGTTCCTATTGGTCGCATCACAAAATTTAAGAAGAATAAAACAAAAAAAAAGTCAAAGACCAACTTTCGAGTTTTATTATTATATTTGAACATCTAGTGATTGAGGGAATCAGCTAATTTTACTTGTACAAGAGAACCAACCGAAAGCAAGTGTAAGAGGGGATGGTTATTGTTGATTTGGAGAATTGAGCCAAATATATTTATTGATACGAAATATTGGCTTAAATACAACTTACTAGAATCCTAAACTTAGAAAAGAAATAACACCCATATATCCAAGATTACAAGAAACAAATCAAATAAACTAAAAGCAAAAACTTCTATAGCTAGTCGGAAATAAAAGAGAATACATAAATAGTGAATAAATAAAATCGTAATATAACTTCTATCACTCCCCCTAAAGTTGAAGCATAAATGTCAATCATGTTCAACTTGGACTTGAAATCATCAAACAACGGACAAGAAAGATTCTTCGATAAAGTGAAGGCGAATTTTCACATGTGGTACGATCGTGTTGATTGGAAAATGAGCAATGCTAATGACGGCTTTTATTGTCACAAAAAAATTGCAGAAGAACAATGACCGACATACATAACTTGTAGAGCACGATGAGCAACCAGAGAACTTTACACACACCAAAAAACAGAGCAAACACAGCTTAAGTTGTTCAACCCTACTACGGATAACAATTTACTGTTTTTTTACTTTTCCAAGTGACAAGGTTCTCCCACATGACAAGCTTAAGTTGTTCGACGGCTAGGATAAGATCTTTGACTCTGTTATAATGTTAATTTATAATGTTAATTTTGAGAATTGAGCTAAAAACATTTATTCATACAAAATGTTGGCTTACATACAACATAAACTTGGAAAAGAAATAACACTCATTTCTCCAAGATTATAAAAATCAAATCAAATAAATTAAAAACAAAAACTCCTATTACTAGCCGAAAATAAAAAGAAATACATAAATAGGAAACAACAGGAAATAAATAAAATCCTCACATAACTTCTATCACTTACATACTAATTTAGTTCACCTCCTTTGGCCTCGGAATCCTCTTGTATTCATAGTTGTTAATGTCAACCTTCTCTTGCAAAGCCTATAATATTACAAGAACAAGCAATCGAGGGTTAAAAATGGCTGCTCTTTTCCCTGAAAAACTCAAGACAGATTAGAAGTCCAAGAAGAAAACCTTCAGCTCCTCTTCCAATGAAAGTTTCTTTGGATTATAAGCCATTGTAGGGCCAGTTCTTGTCAATGCTTTGGTTGTTTCTATAATATCCCACTCTAGATCATCTTTCTCTTTTGTTACTTCTTTGCTATAAAAGATAAAAATTCATTTCAGAAAATTGTAGCAGTATAAGAGAGAAAAACAAAAATTCGATCAGCAGAAAAGAGCATATGCCGATAGGGCCGTCCAAAAACAATAGCTTTTGAGAAACAGCTCATATTTGACTCAGTAAGAGCCATATGTTTGACAAGTTCGTTATGAAAATGAGCTGAGTTTGAACAATATTACGAGCTTATTTAAAGCCTAATACAAATAATTTTTTGTTTAATTGCATTCAGCTCATTATATATACATAAAAGACTAAAATTTATGATTATTATTTTTTAATTCGAGCAGGGTACGAGCTGAAGAAGTTCGTTGGAGTATTAACAAATAAAAAACAAACATGATATTAGCAACTAATATAGAAAAAAAAAGTCCAATTCAATTAAAATTAAATTCAAATGAGCCAAACACAAACACATATAACCTTGATTAAGTTTAGCATTTTTATACCCCTAGATGCAAACACCTAATCAGATGAATCTCAGAATATGTTAAGAAATTATAAGAGTTAAAATACTCATGAATATGACAAAAAAAATTTACTTTTGAGGTCCATACCAACCTGCCCCGTATGAGATGAGCAAGACCGACTGAACCCAGCACAGTGAGCGAAATGAGGGGCAAGCCATATCTGATGAAAGGGTACTTCCTACCCCATCGCTTGAATTCAGAAGTAGAATGCAGAACCTTTGTTGGATGAGCTGCTGAACGGGTTTCTGGAGCCATATCTAGTTTGAATACAAAATCAACAATGCTTTTAGTTGGAATCATGACCATATATTTCAAGAGAGTTACATGCATAGCACTTAATTCCTATTTATTTACATTTCTAACATCAAAACTTCGATCATTGCATGAATGCCGTCTTACCTATGTATGAAAAAATGGATTTTACATCTTATAAGTCAAAGTAGTGGTATTTTTAATGCGATCTAAAAGATTTGGGTGGTATAAATGTAAAAAAGTAAAGTTTAGGTGTTAGATATGTAGATACATGAGAATTGGGTGTTATATGTAAATGCCCCCTTTTTTTAATATAATCTCAGAAATGAGAGCAAAAAAGTTCTAATGAATATCAACTTGCCATAAGTTTTCCCAGGCATAAATAATAAATAGTTTCATTTTCTGATAGCTACAATAAGTTAGCACTCCAAAAAAGAGCCATATTATCGAGATCAGATCTACAGTTGAAAATGAGCAGCATGATCATAAATTATTTATGATACTGTTTCCGATTTTCAACGCAAATTGAAAAACTATTAAGACAAAAGTTGACAGCAATCATTTTTTTTCAGTTAGATATTTCGATTAAAGTTCAGAAATATCTGCAGAAAATAAAAAGTTGCAATAGCAAGATACCAACAGAACACTATCCATAAAAGATAGAGAAGAAGATGAAAACTACAAAGGGAAATATGTTATTCTCCTCCGTAATAGCGTCTTTGAATAATATTAATAACAGTGCAAAGCCTTTCCCCTTTGTTGGAATACATATATCCATGATTTCACCACATATTAGAGGGCAAATCAAATAATGAAATATGCAAATATTAAAAGTAATTAAGGCCATTGAACAAAACACAAAAGAATAATACAAAAGTAGCAAAATAGTGATAAATAGTGGATAGAGTTTGGAGGGCTGGATCAGTTTTCCTTTTCAGAAGAACTTGATTTGAGTTCGGTGAACTCTGTGGATGTCATTAGACAGGGGGCGCTCTAGTTATCAACAATATTGGATGAGATGTTTAATCTAATTTTAGGTTTAGGGTTTAAATCTTATAGAAGAAAAACAACAAAAGCATTATTATTGATGCATTTAGGTGAAAATGGACCTAGTTTCTTGGGTTAAATTTAAAGTGCCAGTAGAACTCCGGGAAAAATTTACTTCTGTAGACATCATAACCGAGTCACAAACACCAAAGTTCTTATGATTTCGATTAACAACTACATTCTATTCAAAAAGTTGTGCACTGTCGGTTCTTCACATCCTGTAAAATGCTAACTCGAAGTTCTCCGGCAAGATATTGCTTAATGTGCAATTAGCGACTTCGATTTGGTTGTCTGATTGATGGTGTTATGCTAAACCCATAATGACTTCTATCTATAGAAACTTCCAAAGCTCGTACCAAGAACAATTAATGATTTGACATCGCAATCTAAGCATGAGATGAACAATTTCTTCAAAAATAACTCTAGTGACATTCACACCATCAATTTTTTTGTTTTTTTAAGCTACAAAGTAGGCTATTATGAAGAAGCGGTCTACCATCACCACACTAAAATATAATAAACATTTGGTTTGTAGAAAGCCCGGAACAAAAATCAAGACAGATCTTCCTAAATGGAATTAAAGACTGGTAGGGACATATGCAATCAAATGTTCTATGAGGCTTCTTCATAAGTTCGGCAATTTTGACACATCTCAACATATTGGCAAGCATCCCTCAGCAACTTTGGCCAAAAAAATTGGATCTGGATCGGTGCTAAGGTCTTTATTGTGATTGGTAGGAGTTGCAAGCAGTCCACTATCCATTTCTTTAATCAGTTGAAAGCCGAGAGAAGTATTTAATGTGCTTGACTACCCTAAGAATTGAGTTGTCACCAACTAAAGTATGCGGATGCATTTGGGCTGTGGATTAGTTACATTAGTAAAATATGCCTTCAAGTGCTTTCAATCCTATAATATCTGTTTGAATGGCTACAACAATCTATAGCTCGCTAACTGAGGGCGTCCAGTACATGTTTGCTACTTCCTGCCTTGTGCTTCAAAAACAAACTAAACTTTTTTCAAACATAAACCTCAAAATTTTATATGAATACAGAAATTGGAGCCATCGGCAATCACTAAATAATACAAAATTTTTATATAGAAATTAGTGTTCCCATTACTTAAGTGCTCTAACTGTGTATGACTCTTATTCATAGGTAGACCATTTTTGCCTTGCGATGCTGAATTTTTCAGTGAAATTTTCAAATGGTTTCATTCTCATACCAGAACTATGCCAATACTAATAACCGATGCATTAAATTCAACCTGAAAAGCTTTTTCAAAATATGGAATTAGCCAATATGAGGGCTAAACATAAGAGATCATATATAATATTGAGGCTATGTTGTTGTTCGAGGTCCCATGAAAAGTTTTCTTAATTTAAAAAAACATTAATTGATGTCATGATCATGTTAACATTTTAAATTAAGTGGCAGTAGAAATTCATTAGCCCGAGAAAAATGCAGCCCACTAAGTGGGGTCGGCTACCTGAATCCTTTATTCCATTTTGTCATATTGAGGTAGCCACAACCCATTCACTACAGCCTTCTTTGGATCGGTGTAAATGACTTAGGCATTGATGATAAAATCTTAAAAATGAACATTTTAACTGCAAACTCACACTTGAATAGATTAATATATAATTTGTGGTTTTGTAATGTGATGAGAACAGGCTTGGGTAATGTAAAACGTGCTTAAAAACAAGAATATCATCAATATATCGAAAGAAAAAATGACAAAAAAATAGTTTGCATACATCATTCATCATCAGTAGCACAAAGATATTGGGTACATTGCAAAAAACAGAAGACATGACCCGCCACTTGCAAAGACCTTCATAAATGATGTTTTTCACTTCTCACCAGCTCGTGTTGTGATTTGATAATAACCACAATGTAGATCAAGTTGAGGAAAAAATAATGACATTGTTCAGCTTCTCTAGTATAGAAAACACATATTTCACTATCATTTTTTTTAATTGCCTGGCAATCAATATCAACGACTTCCATCCTTTTTGGGAACAAAGAGCTGTGTATAAGCATAATCTAAGCTGGATAATTTATTTTTATAGAAGGCCGTTCACAATTTCTTGCAGAATCTTGCATTCCTTTGGGCACAATCAAATAATACGGTAGATACAATATCGTGGACATAGAAATAAAATCAATTTATGTTGACTGGTGTGTAGGAACAATACTTGGCTTGGCATTTTTGGGTTTATGTCTATAAATTGCAGTAGGAGAGTTTGGACTGTCAAACATAAGCGTTAGCATGACAATCAAACCAAACCAAACCAAACTCCCGTGTAAAACTGCCAAGGTCGCGCCAAGATTAAATGGCAAGCATCCATTTTCAAGTTACCATAAAGAACTTCACAAACAAATTTCCTGCCAATCACAAATATCGCCTTGCACATATGACAAACAAGAACTGTGTTTCCCTTCTTGATCTAGGTTATTCTGTAAGGTTGTGGGGTCTTCAATTGTGGTACCTTAATTACACAGTTAGATATTATAATCTTAGTGCATCCATTATCCACCAATAATTCACATACCTCAACACTTAAGGTGCATCCTATTCTGAAGATAGAATAATATTGAGTGGTCGTGGGATGTTTTGGAGCTCATAAAACCTTCTAAAAAATACATAAATTCTCCATCATCGCTAAGAACATCTTCAAGCTCTTCACAAATCAAGGGGAAAAAACAAGGATTGTCTTCATCCTATTCTTCATTTAATAACAGTAATTGACAACTGTTAGGACACATTTGATATGTGACTAGGTTGGAAACAAAAGAAGCATTTAGATCTCCTGAAAACTCGCCCAATTAAATGCAAGTTTTATTGGAATTTTTGCGTCAATCAATCCTATGTTTGGCCTATGATTGGCATATGCTATTGAAATTTAAGGGGGCTTGTTTTGTTGATCTGCAAAATATCTTTAGTGACCTTATTGAAATACTCATTAAAATGGAATCAAGTCATTGTAGGTTTAAAGCTGCAAGTGAGTTGTATTTTTGCCATGTATGTGAAATTAACTGTTAGTGAAAGAGATTGCACTGAGCTCATCTTAAACTTATCTTGAATAGTGTCTTTCAACCCTCCTATTTATTGAGCAACGAGTTATTGAGTGATTTTATTCAAATTGTTTCACACGTTAGAACAATAAAATTCCTCGGTGAAGCTGCTAACAAAGAAACAACTCAAAGCATCACTTGTATTGTAGGTAGAGCATTCAGTAAAAATCAAGGGGAAGGAAATGGACTTGCTTCAATTGTTTTATTCTTAACAAATTTCTTACATTACCATTTCCCACCTATCAAAAGGATTGCATTAATTAACAACAACATCGCTTTGATGACCTTTACATTTGCTCCAATATATATATATATATATATTATTAATATTAAATTTGTTTTTAAAAAATCAAAATGAAAACTCTGCAACATCTCATCAAATCCATCCAATCCTATTGTGCCCGTGTCTCCATCACTTGTATTAGCGTCGTAAGTAAGGTATCCATCGTTCAAAAGAATCCTATTTTATTTTTCCAAAAATCAAACCCTAGGAATGTTCGGACTCTCTCAATTTCTAAATTTCTCACTATACTCCTACCCAAAGCCTTCAAAAACTTAAAACTAAGGAAACCACAACAAAAGAGCACTAAAGAAGGCATCAACATTACAAATGCTATGTGAAGAAGAAGAATTCATGACATATGAGGAGTTATACTAAATCGGTCCAAACTGCTACCAAATGACCTACTGCTCACTCTTCCTCTCCATCCAGCTCCTATTAGAAGCCCTTAACAGCAAGGAAAATGAGAGACTCATGGTAAGGCGTAGGGACTCACTACTGAAGGCATCAATGGGACTAACAACAGAAGATGAAGATGTGAACTTTCTCAGACATGCGAGTGGTTTAAAGGTAAAACATAGGAGAAATGAGATTTAAGCCCTT